GAATTGCTCTTCAGGCCAAGATTCACCTCGTTTTCGGACATGACCGTGAAGCATCCGCAATCGCTTACTCTGAGGAACAATGCCCATCTATTCATAATTCCTCACTTGAGTGACCGTTCTGATTTAATCTACGCAATGCGAAACAGTGGACAAAGAATAACATACTGTTTCAAGTTAAATACTGTCCAGGTGAAATACCAAGTCAACCTCGAGCAGAAAATCATCCAGTGTTCATCAGCTAGTTGGATCATATGCCAAGTTAGAACTGCCGGCGAGGTTTAGAACAGACTGACAACAACGGTATCTAAGTGGGGACGAATATGCAGAGTTAATACGACGGGTACTGACGTCGATCGCTTCCACAAACTCTCTAATTATTTATCAAAAGTTCTGATAAGAAAACAAATGCATGGACGATGAACCAACCGCTTAAATACAGGGGGAATACTGATATCTATAGAAATTACGGTATTCACGTGACCTAAACTGACTTGCAGATCCAGAGTAGCATTGAAGTGGTGAACACGAGATTTCACTAAGAAGCTCAACCGGGACCAGTGGATTTTTACAGATTGCACGACTCTCATGTGATTTGTATCCAGCAATACAGAGACATGAGTACTACGAGTGCAGAACACGTGATAAAAGTCCGCTATGTTGTGAAACTATAGTGTGCACTCGTCATGCCCTGTGGTTCACCTGTGGTTATTCGTGAGTGTAACTACACTTCAAACTTCCACCGAGAAAGTGAGACATGAAAAAGGCGGCTCAAACGCATTACCCACCCTAATCAATTAGCTGATCAAAGGCATTCGGCACATGATTGTGCATGGGACAGGTCGACACAAGTGATAGCATATCCACGTAAGCATCAACGAGTACATGAGCTTATTTCAGTAGTGACTCGTGCATTCCACTCACCGATCTACCTAGATAATGCAGACAACCGCGCCGGACAGAGAGCATGAAGTGCAAAATCTGTTACGTCAGCTGTAGTTCCGACTGCATCAATGGGTGTGATTGATTCCAACAGGTCAGGAAGGCTTACCATAAAATAGCTTCAGCGATGGAAATTCGGTTTATCTACGAATGTTTGGAGAACGGAAGTCGGCGCGTCATCAGTTGTTGAGTAGTCATCGACTATTCAATATTAACCATTCGGCTGGGAGTGAATTCATCTATGCAAATGTGGGGGCTGAGAGACTGTCCCTGGGGATGGTAACATTTCACGCTGGGACTTCCTGCCCTGTCTGATTTCTACGTACCGTGATCACAAACAGTGATGCAACCACAGATGCCAGAACGGAGTCACAAGCACATACCCTCGGATGCGCACGGATTCCTGAGTGAACGAAGTGAACCAGCAAGCAGATCGTAAGAGTCCCGACTGGAATACACACTCTTACATCCCCATCCCTTGATGCGTTTGCACATGAATTACTGTGAGGTGACCGTAATTCGCTTTGCTTGCCTCGGTCCGTCCGCCAAACAATCGGTTGCGGGACAACGTCAAGCAGCTGAGTGCTTCAGATTTACTGTAGTTGGGTCAGATCTCACTAGTCGTCTTCGCACGTGAGCGTTTGTTCATGTGACGGCTAATCTGCCTGTGAAACAAGGTGTTTTAAATCAATGCCAGACAAAGTTTCAGATAACCATTACTGAAACCGACAAAGTACAAATTTTCTACGGTCATTTAGTACACTGTGTGCAACACTTGTTTCAGATGTGTGCGTTTCCCCAGCAGGATAGCGACAGCGACAGCAACATCTCATGTTTGTATTCTGGACGAGAGAATCAGAAGTACTGAAACTCGGGACGTCAATCAGTTCCGCCGTATCGGTAGTGGTCACCAAATGGCGAATGGTAGAGTTGTACTAGTACAAGTAGACCCTCTCGAGGTAAATGCGTGTGGTTGATTCGAGTTTTATATTAGAGAAGAAATTCGAGTCCGGGCGGAGCAGGCGGATAGCAAGTGACGATGGATTCTAACCAAATGAAACAACTGTTCCAATGTTGTTCAGTGATGGGAAAGATATTTTCACTTTACATGAGGAATGCGTAAGTGAGAAACTTATAATTGTTCCATAATTATTTGATATCCTGATTGTTGTTTTACCGAGACAAGCAGTAGTTGACAGAAGGGCAAGGATGGTTGCTCGGTATGAGCTTATGTACGGAGGACTCGGTGATATAAGTCACCGAGGGTTTCCTGCATAATTAATAATCAAATACACTGGTCACAGTGAATATACTAGATTTGCATCGGTTTGAAAAAAGCTAGTAAATATTTTGTTCCGTTAGTCCACCGGAACTAGATACAAACCGGGCAACCGAATGGGCTGCGCAATGCACCAACCCACCATCAGCCATACATGTTCATGGAATCAGGCCCCAATATCCTCATTTCAGTTCCAGGGAGCTACTTCGAAAATAGTTAACCTAGAAGAATAATTATGATGGGTAAAAAACTGATAATCTCAGCAAACCTGACCTTAAGGACGATTTTCAGTGAGCAATTGCCGCGCGGTATATAAATGAATGCACAGCACTCTCCAGAAGCACACGGTCGTGTACACGGATCTTGCCGCTCAGCATCAGGCTTGTTCATTCGGTAGTCTTTTGTCAACGCATACTTATAATTATAATACCCCCGATGTAGGTTAAGCTACGATTATGTTGACGTTCGATGATCCTATGCTTTGAAGAATTAGGGTATAACTACTGTAATGAATCTTCGAGTTCGGACCACCTCAAAATAACATTTTGACATGTTATTGAGAATACAAGTACAAGTATTAGGATGTAATGACAGAAAAGCTCTCCGGTAATGCAAGCTCTAATGAGAAGAAAAAACCGTAAAACTGGTATTGTGGTTCTAGGAAATTTCGTCCAATCATTCCTATACAATCTAATTTAATAACGTTTCGATGTGAAAGGTAAACAATGTGCTGTTTGGTGGAACTGGTCTTCAACCAAAACGGACCGCCGCCGAGTTCTGTTCTGAAACTAGACGGTCAGGAATTAGCTGAATTTGTCTGTTTCTCCTACTTAGGTAGCTGTGTGACCAACGACGGTAGCGCATCAAAGGAGATAACCGCCCGCATTTCCGAGGCTCGAGCAGCGTACGCACTTGTGGCGACGACGTGACATTTCACTGAAGTTGAAAAGACGCGTATACTGTACCGTACGATGAGTTCTACTTTACGGTTGT